AGTCCTTGGCCGCAGCCGGCGGCAAACGGGACGGAATGCTGGGTAGAACTACAAGTCCCAGGAGGCCGTGCGCCAGCTGCGCTCTCTTAAAGGTGCGGGGAGGGTGTGCTGGGCGTGTAGTTCTAAGGGCCGTTTCCGCCCGTTGTCGGGAATTGGAGCAGGGTTAGAGATGAAAGAGCGTTTCTAACTTAGGAAACCGGGGCGTGTTTGGGAGGCAGCACAGCCTCTGGCCACGTGCTCGCTGAATTCCCCCAGAAGAAAGGCTCTATGTGAGCACGTACCCCAGGGTGGGTGTGTCCCTGCGGGCAGGTGTGTGGGTGACCATGTTTCCCGGCCCTGGGGTGCGTATCTGAGTGTGCAGACTTCCAGAACTTCTGCGGTCTGAGTGGGACCCGACCTACACTGGAATCCTGGTTCTGCCATTTGGCGGCCTTGCATGACATTGGCCACGTTTCCAAACCCTTTTGGGACTCAGTTAATTGGACATTAAAATGGAGATAATGACGGGGTCATGTCCAGTACAAGGATCAAAGGAGATAGGGCTGTAAAATGCCAATCCCCCCTCATTCGCGTTCATTGTATTGCTTGCATTGCACCTGTTACAAGTGAGTGAAGTGGGTGCGCAACTGGAACCCAGGACTCCCTCCCCTAGAGGGTACAGGCTGGGCTGCCTTGGTGACTGTCCTCTCTACATTCTGATTGCTGTCAGGGTAAGACAATCTGGGTCAAGCATCTCCACCACAGTGGCTTCCAGCAGATATGTTCTGTGCAAACGGACTTTTTTCTATATTGTATTGTTGTTATTTTAGAGTGCATACACTTGCTGGAGAGAGAGAGAGAGAATGAATGTGAGAAAACGCTTCCTACGGGGAAGTTATACCGCAATCCATTCTCCTCCATTCTTCCCTCCTTTCAGAATTTTGGGTCTGCACTCGCATGCGCCTGGCATGTTTCTCAAGCCATACTGTTGATCATGTGGGATTCAGCTGTCTTAACCGCCACACCATGCCACTGGCCAGCCTGAATTACTTCTTTTTTTTTTTATTTTTATTTTTTTAATTTTGCTATAGGGCATGTGCACTTGCTGGAGAGAGACAAAGAGACAGAAACAGAGAGAGAAAATGAGAAATCATCCCCTAAGAGGGACGGCCATGCTGCAATCCCTCCTCCATTCTCTTCTCAGGATTTTGGGCACACATGTACTCATGCATGCTGGATGAGGGACTTGAACCATGCAGTTGGCCATATTGAATCCAATGCCTTAACCACCATGCCACTTGCAGACCCCTGAGTTACTTAAAACCTTTTTTCCCTTTATTCATGATAGAGTGTGTGTTTGCACATGAGTGTATGTAAGCGCTAGAGAGGAGATAAGCACCCTTCACAGGGCCTAGTTGCACTGCAGCCCATTGGATTTTGGTCTCACTCGGGTGCCCAGTAGTTTCAGGCTGACCAGGCTGGGGACTGGAAACTCAGTCGCCGGTGGGGGTCTAGCTACCCCTGTGCAGTTACTGCTGCATCAAGAGCTAGCTACTCTTTTTTTTTTTTTTTAAGTTTGTTTTATTCTGAGAGAGAGAGAGAGAGAGACAAAGAGATAGAGAGATGGAGAAGGACAGGGACCTTAGTAGAGGTCCAAGAATAAGGACCCACCCCCAGCCTCAGTCAGCCAGATCACTGCACGGGTGTGCAGCTGGCATGTACCTCCAAGTGCCAACCTGAGACCTTCTCAGGTGAGTCCATCACAGAGCATCATGTTACTCCTGAACTGCTGCTCATGGCCCCTAAGCTACTTTTTAAAAGTGTCTGTGTAATGGACCAGCAGAGGGGATAATGGTGCTGTTGGACACCTTTATGGCTGACCATGGTTCGAGTTCCGGACCCAGAGGCTTGAGCATCACGTGGGTGTGTTTGTGTGCATGTCCAAGATTCCGAGAAAAGAATGTAGGTGAAGGGATTGCAACGTGGCTATCTTTCCTGGGGGGTGGGGGGGGGCGGAGGGGGTTTCTCTCTTTCTGTCTCTCTGTCTCTGTCTCTCTGGTGAGCACATGTGCTCTATAGCAAAAAATCTCTTTAAAAATGTATAATGAAAATAATTCTATGACAGTAATAATTTCAGTAATTTTCACCTTTCTCCATTACTTTTTGTTTTTTTTTCAAAGACAGGGTCTGGCTGTCTTGTGACCCTCTTCCTGCCTCAGCCTGCCAGCTGGGACTACAGGCAGATGCCATCACACATGGCTATTTTTAAACAAATCTTATTTATCATCCCCATTATTATTTTTGAATTTGCTATAGGGCAAAGGCACTCACCATAGAGAGACAGAGACAGAGAGAAAGTGAGGAAGCAAACCACCATGTCCAGGACTCGAACCATGGATGGCCATATGGGAGTCCAGCATCTTTACCACCATGCCCCAGCTGTCCCCAACGTGGCTATTTTTTTAGGCAGGGTGTGGCCATGTTGCTCCGTGCAGCCATGAGCTTGCCATCTTCCTGCCTCAGGCTCCCTAAGTTGGGATCACAGGTTCTGCTTGGCCTGACGAATACTTTCATGAAGTGAGCTCTCTTCCCTTCGAGAACGCCGAGTTCTTGCTCCGCAGGGGACCTGTACGTCAGTCCTTGCTGGTCCCACCTGATGGCTGGACCTCCATTTCCACCGGCATCTCATCTCTCTTCTTTCTTTCTTTCTTTCTTTCTTTTTTTTTAGGTTTTGCTATAGGGTATGTTTGCTTGCCAGAGAAAGTCAAAAGTCACCCCAAGGAGGATGGGCATGCCACAATTTCTTCTCCTTCATTCTCTTGGGATTTTGGACACACACACACACACACACACGCACACACACACGTGCCCAGCATGTTTTTCAAGCTGCCAGTTCCACGACTCAAACTGTGTACCTGGTCATGTGGGATCCAGTTGGCCCGACTACCAGGCCACCAGCTGGCCCCTCCCTTTTCTTCTTTTCTTGGAGATACTGGCCTGGAGGTGCTGAGAGGCTTTAAAAATTTGGGCCCAGCAGGTGGCATGATGGTTAAGAGCACTGGCCTCCCACATGGCCAACTGTAGTTCAAGTCCACAGACCTGGTGGCTTGCTTTCTCACTTTCTCTCTCTGTCCCTCTCTGGTCAAATTTTAATAAATAAAGTTAAATCATTCTTTAGAAAAACAATTTTTTTTTCTGGTTTCAGCAGTCGTGTGGTGGTTAAGGTCCTGGTCCGACATGGCGGACTGTGGTTCAAGTCCCAGACCTGGTGGCTTGAAACTCATGCTGGGTGTGTGTGCGTGCATACTCAGAATCCTGAGAGGAGAGTAGAGGAGAAGGGATCGTAGCATGGCTGTCCACCTGGGGGGTGATTTCTCGCATTCTCTGTCTCTCTGGCGATCGCTTGTGCTCTATGGTCAATAAATAAATAAATAGCCAGCGGGTTTGTGTGCTTGCTAGAGAACCATAAATCAAGAAAGCACCCACTGATAGGGTATGGTCCTGCAGCAATCCCATCCTCCACGTCTCCATCTGGTTGGGATTTTGGACACACATAGACACGCACCTGGCTGAGACTTGAACCACATGGTTGACCATGTAGGATCTGACTTCCCCAACCACCAGGCCACTGGGCCAGCCCTTTATTTTTTCAGACTATTTTTCCTGGAGGCTTTTTTTTTTTCTTTTTTTTTTTTTTTTTTTTTTGCTATAGGGCACGTGTGCTTGCCAGAGAGACAAAAAGCAAGAAATCACCCAGTAGAGGGATGGTCACGCTGCAATCCCTTCTCCTCCATTATCCTCTTGGGATCTTAGGCATGCACGCACATGCACCTGGTGTGAGTTTTATTTTTAAATTATTTTATTTAACTTCATTTATTACTATTATTATTATTTTTTGTTTGATCAGACACAGAGAGAAAATGAGAGAGCAAGCCACCAGGTCCAGGACTTGAACCACAGTTGGCTATGTGGGAATCCAGTGGCTTTATCCACCACGCCATCTGCTGGTCCCCCTGGCATGAGTTTTAAGCTGCCGGGTCCAGGACTTGAACTGTGGTTGATTACGTGGGAGTCCAGCGACAAAACCATTACTCCATCAGCTGGTCCCTCCTGAAGGCTTTTGGGATGATTTGAGACAAAGTATGTCAAGGACCTGGCACTTACTAGGTGTGTGAAGTGGCATGCCTCTGACCACCAGGGACCTGGATTGCCATGACCTTTGTCCCCAGCAGAGCAGTAAGTGTGACTTGGTGGTTTTGGCCACCTGTCCATAGCTACCAAGGCCAACACAGTGGATGGGAACCATTTGAAGTGAAAATATGAACATTATTTAATAACTGATCTTCTGTAATAAACCATTTGAAAATATTTTACAAGGAATCACACACATGATATTTTACAAAGTTTCTTGACTTTTTTGTCGCTGTTGTTTTTCCGACTTGTCTGTACAAAATAGAACAACAACAAAAAAAAAAGGGCAGAGAAAAGGAATGGCCCCCCAGCCCCCCAGCCTGA